TCACTCATGATTTTTTTCAGTTGCAAAATTAAATTTTTTCCGGGCTGCAAACCAAGGATCTCATTCGGTCAATATGGATTTTTTTAAATAGTTTTGGAAGTGTATATTAATTAATAAGTGTGGATTTTTTTTCTGCCAGCAGTTTGAAGATTCGTAGACTGAATCAATTGATTAAATATTAAACTAACAGAGTCAGATTTAGCGGAAGATATTACCCTTACAACTTGGAAAGTTTAAACATTTGCTGGGCGGAGAAGTTCAAGAAAGTTAATGTCTAAACTAATTCTACAGAAGCTCTCTCGTTAATTCACAATGAGTTCTCTACTACTCATCCACTCATTGCTATCATTAATAGAATCAAAGACCTCACTATGTGAGATTGGACAATCACGTTCGACCACACTTTCAGGAAGGCAAACAGATGTGCCGATTGGTTGGCTCATCAAGCTTACACTAATAATCTTTGTATTCATATCTTTGATATCCTGCCGCTTAGTTGTTGTATATCTTATACGCTGACATGACTCATCTTGTCAATTAGCACGGTTTATCCATGGCCTCTAATTCAAAAAAAAAAAAATAGCGAATTAAAATTTAAATCTTAGCTAAGAGAGATACTTACATTTAATATTTAACCCTACCGTGGATAAGATTGTTCTAATAAAAAACACCTGCATACAATAAAAAAATTAAAATATTAAAAAAATTTTATAAAAAAGATGCTACTAACATAAAATCTCACACCCCAAATTCCTTTTGGCTGATAACTCATGCACAAAGTATCTAACTGTCTTAAGGGATTTTATTTATATATTTGTAAGGCGAAAAGCAGTGTCTAGAAATTGAAGTTAATATAAAAAAGCAGAAATGATGAATATGCTCCGATCCGTGAAGCATGGCAATTTGTTTCATAAATGAGAATTGAATATAATGAAATGAAGATAGGTCTTTGTTGTGATTTCTTTATATTATTCGTCAGCTATATGTAATTATGTATATTAAATTTTCGAAAAGCGTTTTTGTGTTTTCTTTTTCATTTCGTTCATTGAATGTATATCACTTTCTCTTTCAATAATTACAAATATTATATGTTTATTATCATGACCTTCCATTGTCTGTTCTCTCTCACTATATACATATATATACATATATATATGTGCGCGCGCGCGCATTAATATTTAATAATGATACATCATTGTCTTTTGGATAATAATTTACCAATTGCAGAGGCTAATCTCCTTTAAGATACTTTCAATCAGATTTTTTTATATAAATGTTGATAGTTAAATCTCTAATCACTTATTTAAAGAATAAGAGTCTCTACTACTTAAACCTTATAAGTAATTTATTTTCATTTTTTTTACTTGAAAATCCTAATATTTATATTGTAACACGAAAATATAAACTTTCTAATAGTTGCAGGCTTGCAGCACAACTAGAGATCAATGAGCGCTATGGTTGAATCTAAATTGAAGGGTTTTTTTTTTTTTTTTCATATCCCATAATTAAAGTTTCAAAATAAACTCTTGTAAATAGAGACACTTACATTGAGAGTTCTTTTTGTTAGATAGAAGTACCCAACGTAATTTTTTTTTAAAGAAAAAAATTAATCTGCAAGTCTTTCTTTTCTGATTTTGAATTAGATCTATATAATTTATTTTATTTTAATCAAAATCTTATAGTTTGATCGATTAAATATTTTAGTCTCTCAAGATTAAAATCATTAAATGTTTTGTTTTTAAAAAATGAAATTAAGAACTTTTATACTTTTATTAAATGATTATATAATTTTAGAATTAATTGCAATATTTTTAAAACTCAAAATTCATGTAATTAGATTATGTCTTCTAGATAATTTTTATACATATAGAAATTTCATAAAAATGTAATCAAATGTAAATATTGTATTATATTATATTTTATTTTTTCCTAAAAGTATTAAAACAAATTTTCTATAAATTTTAAAATTATTTTATTTTGGAAAATTTAATCATTCATCACTAATTTTAACCTTGTTGGCCAAATAAATAAATAATTTTAACCTTCAAAGATTAGCATATCTAATCAATCAAACTATAAGGAATTGATTAAAACACAACAAATCACAAATGATCTACTTCAACTCAAGAAAAACTAGAGGAACTTGTAGATTAATTTTTCCTTTAAAAAAACAGAAAAATGCTTTTTCGTGTGAAAGATTTATTTTTTTATTTTTTTTGTAGTAAATCATTCAATATCTGAAACCAAGGCTTTGACTAAGTCGGATTGAACTAAGTCAGACTCTTTTGGACAAAATCTCTACTTACTAAATGCTTATACATTCTCAAAATTTGAACTTAAGAGTCATCATGAAGTTGGTTGTTTGGTGAAAGATTCATATTCTGTTTTTTTTTTTTGGCCAAACAAGATTAATTATTCTGTTGAAGACGTTCTCTCTTGTGAACAAACAAATGAAAGTGAGAAAAAGAATAAAGAATTTCTCAAACTCCACTAAAAAAAAAAAACCAAAAGAAATTAGAGCACCGTCCAATGATCACAATTCTTTGTTGACTTTTAATTTATATGGCCCTTGTGCATTGTCTAGAACCTTTTTGCCAAAGTTTGTAGAGATTTTCAGATTCTTTCAAACTAATTCCTCTTTTGAAATTCCTGTCATTTTCACCTTTCCCATCATTTCTAATTACTTGGTCCTCAATTAATGTACATATGCGACCAATATATCTATGATTCAATTTTTGTTGCAAAAAAGAAGAAAAACTAGTATCAACTTGATTGACCCTTTATTATATTCTGTTTGCAATACTGGTTTTTCTATCATTTTTTATTTTTTATTTTTGGTTCAGAAGATCTTTCTATAATTGTTTGCTTGATTGTATTATGTGAAACATATTTTTATTTTGAATTCGCAAAATAAACTAGATTAATTTATCATACACTTGCTCTTTATTATTTTTGTATAAAAAACTCCAAGTGTTGCTTGTTATTGTTAACCATAAAACTAAACATATTTCTTTATACATTGCACAATGAGTTTAAACGTAGTATCACTATTGATGATTTGCGAATATTATGGATTGAAATATTGTGTTACTAAAGCTTTGGCCCATGGATTTGCATCCTTCCCATACCTTCCCTCAGTACATTCCTTCATACCCAATCTCATCCGTCTATTTCATTATTCATTTAGTTTAATGGTATTAGATTGCTATTTATGATATTAAAATAAATATATTATTCATTTAATGATTATCATAAATAAGCATTTACGAACTTGTTTTCAAAAATATTTAAGTAATGATAGTGAATAGTCTATTTATTTTAATGTCATAATTAATAATCTAACACCATTACATTTAAAAAATAATTAGGCTGATGGATGAGATTGGATATAGAGAGATATAATAAGGGAGTACATGGGGAGGATCCAAATCCATGTTGTAGGATTAAATGTTTGAATATTGATCCATCATGTTTAAATATTAACAAGTTATTATTCAAATATTAATGACGACTTATCTAGAATTAACAATAGTTCACGGAAATCCTTGAAACCTACATTTATAGCATATGTATTGTTTTATTTAGTATAATATTGATATTTGTCAATATTTAATGAGCAAATTCTAAAAATTTGAATAAAATGAGCTTTAAAAATTTGACAACTTATTTCTTAAATATTAACAAGTTATGTTCAAATATTGACAAGTTAATATTTCAATAATAACAACTCCAAAATTGATGACAACTTATGAAAATTCTTGTAAATTATATTTTTTACATAATATTTTATTTAATATAATATTGATAACCTATGAATATTTAAGGAGCAAATTGAAAAAAATTGAACAAACGATTCTTGAAAATTAACAACTTGTTTCTTAAAATAGTGACTAGTCATGTTTGAATATTAAAAAGTGATTCTTCAAATATTAAAACTCATCTAGAATTAATGACATATAGATATATGCTTAGAAACTAAATTTATAACATAAATATAACATATATTTTTTATTTTGCATAACACTGATAACTTATCAATTTTCAAGGAACATGTTATCTTTAGAATAATTGACAACTAGTCTTTTCAATATTAACAAATTATGTTTGAATATTAACAAGTAGTTGTTTAAATATTAACTTATCCAAAATTAAAACTCATAAAAATGCTGGTAAACAAAACTTATCATTATTATTATTATATATGTATGTATGTTTGTATTATTTTGCATTATATATCTTAAATGTTTAGTTGGTTTAATAGTCTTTTATGTTTTGGGAGACCAATGAGTCATGGATTCAAATGCCCCTTAGTTTAGTTCTTTTTAGAGTTGACCACCATTAATCATCATGCCAATGTGAGAGTTTCGGTGGCTGGCAATGATGGTTAGCCCACTGGCAAAAGGAGCTCCAACGATGGTGATAAATATATATATATATATATATATTTGAAAAATAAAGCAAGGCCATTTAAGTAATTAACTCCTGAAAACTTTGGGCCCTTCTTGAAGTTCAGAATGCTTTGAGCTTTGACATGCTATGATGTCTCATGTGGGAGCCCTAAAAAGATCTTCTCTCTAAATCTTTCAATAAGCTGGGGATCCAAATTTGGTGGTAAAAGCAGTCCAAGAACCTAAATGGAGCCATATATCAAAGGACCAAAATGGCAATTATTCAAAATGAAATTTAATCAAATTCTTTCAAGGAAAAGCAACTTCACACAAAATAAAAGCAAGTTTTACCAAAAACACACTTGGTTCAACTGGCCAAAAAAGTTAAATTAACTTTGAAATTTTGAGTTTAAATTCCAAAATATACAGTTATGTTAAAATGTCAAACATTTCTCAAGATACCTGTGAAATTTTTGTAGGTAATATATCCCACACAGCGAGAGCTTGAAATTTGGATTACTCTAGACAGATGATAATAATACCACTAGATTTCCTAGGACAGGGGGGGATAGAATACCAAAAAAAAAAAAAAAAAGCTTTTACGAGAAGACATAAAAGTAAAAACCCCAGAGAGAAATACATGGTTAAGTGCTATGGAAACAATTAGTTACAGCGTTTATTCATACAAAATTAGTAAAGAGAACAAAAGCTCGAATCAAGTAAAACTCAAAAGAATTGGTTTCCTAAATTGCTCGAACACTATTAAAATCTTGCTCGTGTTCAATTAAATGGTCTCTTTTAGTCTCTTTAATTTCTGTCCACGTAATCCATTCCAGAAAGCATCTGATCTTACCACCTTTTTTCCTGGAAGCTGAACCTCTAATACCTGATAGTGTAATAATCACTAAAATCAGAGAGGACAATGCTTTGAAGTAACAATGAACTTTCGACCAATTATATAATTGTTGGGAAGACAGAGAAAGAAAGAAGGTTAACCCAAATAACTAATACTCCCTCCGCTACTAATTATATGGCAAACTTTTAAAATCCTATTTGGTTCTAAATATAGATGCAATAGTTAATTTTATTTCCAATATTGTCACTTCTCAATTGCACCAAGTTGTTGGCAAACTTTTAATTCCTAGACACTTTATTATGGCCATCAATTTCAGTGAAGGGCAAAATTGGAAAGTTACACACTTTTTACAAGTTTAAGGATATTAACTGTCATTTCTTAAGAATCACAAAGTTAGTTACCTTTGCCTTATAATTAGAACTGGAGGGAGTATCATAGCACATGACGATCAAGTGACTGTCAATATCTCACAAATGGAATGGAAGCCAAAATAACAAATTTAAAAAAGGAAAAAAAAAAAAGCCTATTCTTATTTTTTGAATTCAGTAGGGCTGTATTCCCTAAGAACGATGATGAATGATGCAAACAGCCCTAATTCTTCAAGGATAAGCAACCAAAATTCAAGACTCAAATGTGAATGTAATCCAAACATGAAATGAAAATGCTCAGCCAATCATGAATAAGATATCCCAGGACTCAAACAACTAAAATATTCCCAAATGATTAGTGAAGTTGAGATTTCACACCATCATTCCCGTTTATAACCCTAAATTCAGATTACAAGTGCTTCAATCATAAATATCATCTCCTAACAGTCAGTCAAAGTTCGTTGGATACTGAGAAACTTTCAGGATTACAATGAACAATGCCATTTGTTTCCAATCTCCATCTCCAATTCAGGAGGATAAATACTGAATAATTATAACAATGTCTCTATGACTTGGTTTGCTGAGGATTTAGGAAAAGTTACTCCTTGGACTTTTGGCAGGCATGATTTAATTTCAAACAGATGTTATGCCATAAAAATAGTAAACAGACAGACCAACAAACACTTCATAATTGATGATAAAAAGTGAAGATAAAGAACAAACCTCCAGTGATGTGCCCCCAGCACAGGGAAACACCAATGCATCCTTGACAAATCTGATATCATCTACTTCTTTGGGCAGTACACTTTTGTGGATGCCAACTCGCGTAGTTATAATTTTAAGTTCCAGCGTTTTCTGCTCACCATTTTTCTCTACTAACACTTTTGCTCGTGTTCCTGGCCACCCTGCAAAGGCGCGAACCTAGAATTGTTCTACGTCATAACTTCACAGTTCAACTAAAATCAGGAAGCTTACCTTATTATGTAGAACCAATGCTTCTTGATCAAAGGATAACCATGACTCCTCTGGATTTATCTGCACAAAGCATCAATGCTTAGATGTAATTCCTAGTAAGGAAAATGTTTCACCAACTGTGTACACTGGAAGAAACAGAAAGCAATGCAATAGGCTCTCCCAATTTTTGTGCCCGTTCGAACATTCTGTGGAAGAGGAGAAAAATATTTTTAAGTGGTGAAAATATTAGTCTATTTTTAACATGTATTTGGCCAGCACGTAGAATTACTTCTAAATGGTAGCATTATGGGCCCGTTTACTTTAGCTTATTTCATGAAAAAATCATTTATTTTTTGAAAAAAAATCTATTTTGTGAATTTTTATAACGTTTGTTTAAACTTTTAAAATAATCAAAAATTTTTTTTTTTTGATTATTTTAAGAAGTTACTTTAAGTGGTCTTAAATTGCAGCTAACAGATAAATGCAATAACATAAAATATTTTAAAAATTACAAATAAAAAAATGAGAGCTAATTTCTGCTCATGAGATTCAGTAGTAGAGGTAATGTATTCAATTCTCCTGATCTACCCTTAAGAACTACAGATGTTCTTGAGATAGCAACTCAAAAGAAACAAGTAATACTAACAAGGGAATAGCCACGAATGAGTTCACAATCATCCGTCTTTATTAGTAATGGAATACTAAAGGAAGACCTGAAGAAGAAAAAGTTAAATTCAATTTCATCTAATTTCATGTGAACTAAATAAATAATTAATATGTCCATGTCAATAAAACTATGAAAATAGCTCGATCAGTTTTTACCATCAATGGTTAATCTCGTTACATAAGCTTTCAATTAATGATTTATTTTTGTGCCAGAAACAAAAACATTGCCTCAAATACATATTCAGAATTTCAGATACCCTACATCCACTTTGAGTCTAAAGCAATAGGTAGCAAATTGCAACAAGTATCTGATATGGAACTAGTATCAAATATCAATAGGATAATTCATTTCCATTTCTACACCCAAGGGGCAGAATTCAAGCCAATTGTACCTTTGGAGCCAATGTAGCCTTATTGTGATCCTGAGGTCGAGCTTTCACCCTTGCAGATCCATCAAATATGGAAGGAAGTTCACGGACTAGAAGCTTTGATCCTGCCTTATCAAAGAAGATCCAGAACTCATCAATTGACTGAAACTATATTAGCATAGGGACTGCAATCGATGAAAGCTTTTAAATCAAATGATTGATTACGAACAGCCTCCTATGTCATGGGGAGAATAAAGAAGTAGCCACAATTACATAGAATGGAAAAGAAAACCGTGGGCAGAAATCGTACCTTCAGAAACAGCTGAGAAAGTAAATCAGGTGCCTACAAATATGTCTAAAGATTAGTCAGTACAGGGGAGAAAGGACCATGACATTCATTTTAGTGTCACTGAACAAGTGTATTGTGAGAAAGTTAGGAAGGGACAATGAGGCAATTCTTGAGTATAACATACTAGCAAATTTTGTATCCCAAATGCAAATATAAGCGCTAATCTTTGAGTAAACAATGTAAATATTTCTGGCCACTAGATCGGCAGTGGAAGTGGAATGCATACCTTAATTTGGAAATCAACTTCAAATCGTTCACTAGCAATGACGGGTCCAGCATCAAGTTCAAGAACAGTGAATGCCAATGACACTCCAGTTTCTTTGACACCATCCTGGTGTAGAAAATAAAAATGATAAATGTTGTAAACAACTATAAGAAAATATAAACAACAAAAGAGGTGATAAAAACCTGTAATGCCCTTTGAACTGGTGCAGCACCACGATACAATGGCAACAGGCTAGGGTGAATATTGACTGTCCCTGAGAAATTTACATGCGTGATTTAGAATTTGGTTATTAGAGAGCTGCAGATTTAATTGTTAGATTAGACCTGCATGTTTTCCTTTACTTTGGATTCAAAATTTTCACCCTGCCTATTAACTTCAACTAACGAACTAAATTAAAAGAAGAAAGAAAATATAAAAATATGTAAATTTGTTTTGCAATTAGTATGGGATGAGCCACTGATTAACATTAAGTAAGATGATCAAACCCTTCAACTTCTAATAATGAACTAGCGCCAAAAAAAAAAAAAAAGATTCCATGCTAGGGATCCAGTTTCCAAGAAGGAAGTTTTACAAAGGTTACATGGCCACAGGGACATTTATTTGATGATAATTTTTTCTCTCTTTAGCAGACATGGATAGTAAAAATGCATTTGAGTGTCATAATTGTGTATTCATCCATTTATAGCGAAAATGAGAAATCATGCATATAACTGATTTTTGAGGCTTAGGTCCTTTAGGGCCTCTTAGCTTAGGAGTTTCATGCATTCCTCAGAAAACAGCTGTCATAATTGGTGTATTATCTGCACCAAAACGGAGCATTGGTGGATAGAATGGTTAGTTTGCAATAAAATATTGATTCATGATTCCAGAAGCATCTTATGGAGACTCATACCCCATATACTTAGCTTTCTTATACAAAATGCTAAAACAAAATTGCAGAGATTATTAAAACTCTTTTCCTTAGAAAATTTCCCTCCTGGGCAGCTTTTCCCCTCAAAAAGGAACTTCTAAAGGTCGTACATTAAGTGCTTACCTACAGAGATCCATTTTATCAAAATCATTTACAGGATGTGGTTTTGGAGGCACTAGGTCACACCTCATAAGAATAAATACAATGGACCAATGTAGATAATAATAGGCAGTCACAATTTATCAATCAAATTAATATAGTAAAACAATTTAAAATTTTCAGGCCAGTTGACAAGAAACAATATGATTTTTCATTTTAGATAACAAATCAAGGTAAAATATACATAGGGCTTGAAGATCTATAGGCAGGGCTTAACATTTGTAACATGAACAGCTTCTCCTAAGGGGGGGGGGGAGATAGTTTTCCAAGTACGTGTATACTTTTAAAAAACATCCACAACCTTTATTCAAAGAATATTGAACCAAATCTCAGATATGAAAGCAATCCAACAAAACTATGGCATAACCACGAGGTTTTTTTATCATTTATTCTTTTTTTTTTTTGGGAATAGAATTTCATAAGATGCTATATGTAAATGAAATGCAAATAAACTATATTGTTCTAGTATAAATGTGAAGAGACACTTTATCCCATTGATTGAGTTGATGATCTAATTTTAATATGCTTTAACTTGTAACTTACTTGTAAAATCAAAATGCCTGGGTTTTATTTCACATTTTAACTTGCTAAGGAGAGTATGGTCTCTTCTGGATATATACGATGTTTAACTAGGAAATTTAAGAAGAATGTATTGTTGATTTTGGTAGATTAAGAGAAAAATAACTAACCCAATGGTGGTATGTTCAGAAACTTGCTAGGCAGTATATTCCCGTATGCTGCAGTAATGCATAAGTCTGGTTGCAAGCCTCTCAAGTTTGACAAGAAATTGTCCTGCATGAAGAGAAAACATGAACATCAATTTTTAATTATATTTCCATGTGCTGCTGTGACAAAGATTTTATAGTTACTGTAGTATACTCTAAAACTAGCTTTTTGATAGTGGTTTTTAGAATGATGGAGAGGGTTCATCTAGTAACTTGGACGATTTAGTAACTGGTGAAGGAGAATAAAATTTGTCATTCTATCGAATAATACGTGATAAGAAGGTAAAGGAAGCTCTTAAGAAAATGACAAATGGTAGAGTCAACGGACCTGATCGTATATCTATCGAAGCGTGGAAATGTTTAGGTGAAGAAGGGGTGAGATGGTTAACTAAGTTATTTAATGTAATTTTACGGTCCAAGAAAATGTCTGATGAGTGGAGAGAGAGAGTACATTAATTCCTATTTATAAAAATAAAGGAGATATTCAGAATTGTACTAACTATAGAGGGATTAAGCTCATGAGCCACACAATGAAATTGTGGGAGAAAGTAATTGAGCACAGGTTTGAGATTGAAGACAAGTATTTCTGAGAATCAGTTTGGTTTTATGCCAGGTAGATCAACTACAGAGGCGATTTATCTACTAAGGGGATTAATGGAAAAGTATCGTTGTAAAGATAAAGATCTAGACATGGTTTTTATTGATTTGGAAAAAGCTTATGACCGTATACCAAGAGAAGTGCTTTGGAAAGCGTTCGAAAAAAAGGAGTACGGATTGCTTATATTAAAGCCATACAAGATATGTATGAGGGGGTAAAAATTAGTATAAGAACGCCTAGTGGTCAAACAAAAGATTTTCCTATAAAGATTGGACTACATCAGGGATCATCTCTGAGTCCTTATCTGTTCAACTTGATCTTAAATGTTTTGACGGAACATATTCAAGGGGAAATTCCGAAATGTATGCTCTTCGCGGACAATATAATTCTTATAGCAAATACAAGAGAAGAGGTTAATTGCAAACTTGAGTTATGGAGGAGGACGTTGGAGTCGAAAGGTTTTCGTCTGAATAGAAGTAAGACGGAATATTTATATTGTAAATTTGGTAAAGGACTATTCGACAATAATTTGGAAGTGAAATTGAGAGATCAAATTATACCTCAAGTGGAAAAGTTTAGATATTTGGGAGCCATTATTCAAAATGATGGCGAAATCAGTGGAGATATTTCACATAGAATTCAAGTTGGGTGGTTTAATTGGAGAAAAGCTAAAGGAGTTATTTGCGATCGTAAGGTGCCTGATAAACTTAAAGGAAAGTTTTATCGCACTGCTATCAGACCGGCAATGTTATATAGTAGTGAATGCTGGACTCTAACGGGACAACAAGAGCATAAAATTGGAGTAGCAGAGATGAGAATGTTACGATAGATGTGCGGACATACATGTAAAGATAAAATTCGAAATGAGTACGTACGCGAAAAGTGAGGGTGGCACCTATTGAGGAAAAAATGGTAGAAAATCGATTGAGATGGTTTGGGTATGTACAAAGAAGACCAAGGGAGGCACCAGTGAGAAAAGTGGAACATATAACTTTGAGTCCGATTAAGAGAGGTAGAGGAAGGCCTAAGAGAATACTATTAGAAGTTATTGAACGCGATCTGTTAATTAATAATATTCCTAAAAGCTTGATAAATGATAGAGCACAATGGCGTCTTGCAATCCATATAGCCGACCCCACCTAGTGGGATAAAGGCTTGTTGTTGTTGTTGTTGTTGTTGTTGTTATATGCTAGGATTAGATTTCAACTACTAGACCTAACCATTTGGAAAAATATTAGATTTCTTTTGCAAAGTAAAAATTTGTGAGAAAAACGAGCAGATAAAGAGACCACAATATATGTTGATTTGAGCAAATAACAACTATCCCCATAATTTTTTCAATATGGTTAAGTAAACTTAGCTTTTAGTTCATATGTGTTTTATACGAATGTAGGATTTTTGATCAATGATGAATGCTACTGTAAAATCTTTTATGGCCTTCATTCATCAAAAAGATAAAAACTAAAATTAAAAAACACTACTGCCTCAAGCAATGCAAAGGAACTATAAAATGCTTTGTCTAAGCCCAGAATATTATCCATCCATCACATTAAAAAAAAAAAACTGTAATCAATTCCCATGATTACAAGCACAATGGCATTCATCAGATACTGACAGCAAAACAACATTAAGCTCGTTTCACCAATTATATTTCAGATAAAAAACTAGAGTCAATAGTTACCTCCCCAGCCCGTTCAGGTGTGAATATAAGATCAGAGGAGAAACCTCTATCAAGAGCATATTTTGCCAATGGAGAGGGCAGCAGCTTTTTCCCCCTATCCCTCCTAGCAGGTGGCTGTGTCACAATAGCTGCAACCTAAATCCAACCAAATTAATGACTGATTCCTCAATTTTCTAGTCTGTCTTAATATATTGAGAATGGATAATGTCTCTAAAACAGTTAAAAATATATGCTGGAATACAAAATCTAAGTTTTCAGTAACCACTTGCTTAGTATATAGCCAAGTAGAGTTCCTTTCGCGAATGAAACAAGAGGATTAATACATGCCAGATTTACTTTCCTTTTTCTCTTAAATTCTTTCCCTAGGCTTTATCCTCCGATAGGATGCTCCATCAATATTAATAATAACAAAATGAAGCTCCATTGAAGACCTTGTCATCACTTAATCAAAACAACTATAGAAGTAAAATGCAGAATGAAAAGAGAAAAAGAGAAGAAAATAATGCTATGGAATTGGTAATACAACATAGCACAAGCCAGAAGGAACTCAAAATGAAAAAAGCACATTGCAGATACTGATGATATTTTAGCTAATAAGCAAAACCCACTTCTAATGTTGTCCAGCAAATAATCAAATGGCAAAGCGAAAATCGTAAGCAATACCTCAAATAAAGAATCCGAAGCACTAGAAGCGTTAAGGAGGGCATCAAGGACAGTTGCTGAGACCTGCAAATTTAAGACATTGAAGTAAAAAGCAAGACTGAGAGAGACCACACGCAGAGAGAGAGAGGGAGAACCTGCGGAGAGCCCAAGAAGACGAGGGACTTCTTCTTGCAAGACAAGGAGAGAGACGGAGAAGACGTAGCGCTATGTAAACAACAATAGCGGCTAATCATCGATGAAGAGTGCATTGCACGAGCTTGAGTAGCTAGGCTCAGAACACGCTGGGTCTCTCTCCCCTTGTTATCTGAACAGGCTAAGGTTTTCTACAATACGTACCAAACTCAGCCATTCGGCTCAACCTCACGTCACATGGACCGGACGGACAAGGTTTTCTGGCTTGGGGCCTCGGGCTATATGCTATGAAAACTTGAAAACAAGGGAGAATGGCAGTTAGCTCGCGAATGATAGTTAGATTTTTAATAAAAATTTTTATAAAATAAATTATAAATATCAATTTAAATAATTAAAGATAGAAATTTTTGTTAAATCTATAAATTATATTTAATATTTAAATACTTATTTATAGTTAAAACTATTTGATTTGTAATTATCTGAATCAATATTTTCAATTTATTTTTTTTAAAAAAATGTTGAGTACTTTACTGTGATTAATTCAATATTTTGAAGCATTACCGTCATTCTTTCCAAAAAAAATAATGCACCTAGTGCTTTTATAATTGAAAAATTGCAATTAAGGATCAATACATTTTGAATTATTTCTATAAGTCCAAAGTTCCTAAATGCAAATATGTTTCTTTGTAAACAGATATATATGTTCCAAATATAGGAGTTTCCTAAGTGCATGTATAACACAATATCTATAAAGAACATGATAAGGTTTATATATGAACAACACAAATTCATTTATCATACATAGTCCGTGTAATTTAATTGAACAATAATGTACAAATTTTTCATATATACGTGCAACATGTTATTTGTAAAGAACATGACCAGGTCCAGACATGAACAACTTAACATCAATTTATTATACATGATTTGTGTAGTTAAGGGCAAATGTATCTTTTTCACAAAGAAACATATTTGCATTTGGGTTTTTTGGGCATGCAAAAACAATTCAAAATGTACTAGACCTTAAGTATGATTTTTTCTGTTCTAGGAGCCTTAAGTGTGATTTTCCTAAAAACAAAATTAGACACAACTGAAGTAAAAATAAGAGAAAAAAATTAAGGTATTTTTGCTCTAGACTACTCATACAAAATTCTAGTATTTAAATTTATTTTAATATGATTTGCCCTTTTAATATTTGAAAACAATACAATTTTACTCCTATCATTAAATATATTAAGGTTGATTGTTTATTGATCCAAAAATTATATATATAAGAATTTCAAGAACTACATTAAAAAACATTAGAGCTAGGTGAATGTGTGAAGGACCATTAGAGCTTTCAATATAGCAAGGCAATGTAGCTAGGGAGGCATCTTGATTATAGTCACTCTATTCTTCAAATTAAGACTACACAAAAGATTGGATAAGACTGGACTTTAGTCTAACCTGAATTCTAGTCTCTTTTATAAAAAAGATTATGTTAGGTAACCCATAATGCGGTTTGTTTCAATTATAACTTGAAAATAAATAGAACTGGATTTGTTTCATATGATTGGGAAACTGGTTCCGATAATTCAATACTCAATTAGCTTTTTTGCCCTTACTTTCATCTATGGGAGGTAATAATTTATTTCAACTTGATAAACTCAATTAAGATAATAAAAATACCTATAATCATAAAAAATCCATAACAATCTCCAAAAACAACAAAAAAATATTTGTATTACAATTCATATAATTCAAATTTATAACTTTAACAACAACAATAACAACTAACAAACTTTAGCAACATGTCTCATATATATTACAACAACAATTTAGCAGCAAACTAAATTAAAATTATATTAAATAGAAGGATGATATGTGAATAAAGAAAATGTTGCATGCAAGTTTTAAACTATTCAAATATATTAAAAATAATTTAAATTACATTAAAATAAATTCATAGAACTGGATTGGACCAAATTGTCTGAGAGCTTGGTCTCATGTCCGGTCCAACTTAAAAAATTAGTCTAGTCTTTGTGGTCTCTTTGGTCTTTCATGTAACACCCAAAAAATTATCCCCTTGATTAATTAAGTTAATGAAGGGTAAATATATAAATTTAAGTAAGATAGATTTGAGGATAATTAGAAACGGCTATTGGGTTTGACTTTAGCTTTTAAATTGGGTTCAAAAGTGAATTAGGTTACTTGGGCTCAAATTATAGAAAAAAATTAGATTTTGGCCTAGTACATTATGTTGCAGCATAAAATTTTATGCTGCAGCATAATTTCCAAAATTAGCTTTTTTAAAAAAGCAAAAAAAGGGTCTGAAACAATAAAAGAAGGCTAGAAAAAGAGGAAGGGAACAGAGAGAGTAATTGCTCTACTAGGGCATCAACTTTTGGGTATTTTGAAGGTGATTAGAACTTAATTTCAACTAGGTATACTTTCCTTATCTCTTTTTCTTCTTTCTACAAATTTTTGTAGTAAGATTTGAGGTTAGGAGATGATGATTTTTGGATCCAAGGCTATGAGTCCGAATCCATTAGTCTAAATGGGACTAATGAGAGTTTTTGAGTTATTTAAGCCTGGATATAGTGGTTTTATGTGTCCAAGAGAGTGAGCTTCTAGTTATAGACAAAATTATGCCCTAAGGTGCCATAAATGGTGGTGCTTAAGGTAGGTAGCTGTCATTAATATTGATTAAGGTTTGTATTAGTGTTAGTTGGAGCTAATATGATGATTAAAATTAAAAGTTGAGAGTTTTGTGTGATTAAATTGTTTAAATTTGAAAGTTGAAAGTGAGTAATTTGTGACATTGATGATGATTTGAATTGTTAGATGATATATTAGTGATTATTTAAGTCGTTGAGAGCTAAATGAAGTTAATGGGAGTTAATAAACTCATTGGATGTGAAATTGATCTTATAGTTGAGAAATTTGGTTATTAAAATATGAAATTAGATGTTGGAAGTAATAATTTTGATGATTATTAGTGATAGATGTTAATGTAATTGTAGCTTAATCTCATGAAGCACCAATAAGCTTGAATTTAGCTTAAAAAATAAGTTGTGATTGAGGGATAACATTTGACCTCTTGAATGTTTAAGGTAACTAGAGAAAATTTAGCTTATATATTTACTTGATTAATTGATTATATGTGAAAAGACTTATTTGAAAATCTTGATATATTGTAAAACTATATTTGATGCAAGTTAAGTAATATGAATAAGTTTATATAATGTGATGAAATCGATAAGAATGACGTCTGTGAGATATATATATATATATATTATATGATTGTTGTTATGAGTAGATATTAAGTGTATAAAGGTGCTTATGAAAAAGGGAAACTGTGAATTAAGAATTGTGTTAAGCATGATTATGTTTGTGATATTGATAAGCATGATATGATGAGATTGATGTTAGTAAAAGTTGCATGCTATTAGTGAGTATGAATTTGCATACTAGGTGTTGAACATTTGTGCTTGGTATGATCATATGAGGCAGGAGTTTACCTATAGGGAAAGGAGTAGATGTTGTAAATTCACGTGGCATTGGCAGCTTACCGTTAGAATCAAAAGCTAGCCAAATTGCCAACCGTTGAAATTAGGAGATAGTTATTATCCTATTATTGTATAAGGACTGTCCCACTTGTTCTTCGAAAAACTCAACCTAATTAGTCTCCAATGGTTTATGAGAAGGTTAGATTAAGGGTACAACACCTATGGTCGTTAGTATTTAGGGAAATCGTGTCACACAAGTGAGTATAATAGCCTTGGCTGGGAACCTCTTCATGAGTAGAAGGCTTGAAAAGTTGGAATTCATGGATATAGCCCATTAAATAGCAACCAGCTTCATATCGAGGTATTAGGAGGATATAAAGTTGGCATTGATCATGCATATCATATCCTAGCTACATGATTGTTATTATTGTGATCTGGCATAATTTGGTAAGGGCACATGGTTGTTATTTTTGTGGTCTAGCATGTTTCATAAAGGGCATATAGTTGTTAGTATTATGACATTTGCATGTTAAATAATCTAATGTCACATGATTGTTAGTTTTGTGATTGAATGAATTACCTGTTTAATGTGTGAATGCACTTTATTTGACTATGCCACTTGCATCACTATGATTGTTTAATCTTGATTGTTGAGTGGTTGTACTCACCCCTCATTTAACATTTTACAAGTGCTGGCTGTGGTCGGGATAAGAAAAATGCATATGCAGTTTAGGAATTAAATTTTCTACTGTAATGCCTCAATTACTTTCAATCAATGTGTAATTGTCATGATATTACTAAATAGGATGTTCATATTTTGTTATATTTACATTATTGAATATTGAGTATTGAAATATGTTTTTTGGGCCCTAGTACTTATTGCATTTTTTTTAGTTAAGAAATTTGAACAAGGCCAAAATACTTGTGTAAGTAATGAATAAGTATATTTGTGAATGATGGTAATTTGGATGTGAAATTACATGATTCGGCTCTCCCTTATATTTTTGTGATCAAGGGGTTGAGTAGTGAAGATATGATATATGTGTTGTTTGATTGTTGCAGTGCATTGCATGAATCCGTTATTTCATTGAGTGTGGTTTAAGGATTGATGTGGGCTTTTGGCACTTGGATTGAGTTTTGGACACCCTAATTATGTTTTAAAGCATAAATGAATGAGTTTGCATTTTGGTGTTCACTTTTGATTGAGAAATAATTTGAATGTGAAACTAGTGTCATTTGTTAGAGTTCAAGGAAAGCTTTTTGTAGACATCTAGATCATCTCAATTAGATGTTTGGAGATTTAGTGGGCATCAAAAGTTTGATCAGAAAATCTACCACAATAGCTTGTGCTGTCATGGGTTCTGCAGTTTATGCCGTAGCATAAATTTTTATGTTGCATTGTAATTGTGCCGGAATAAGTTTGTTTGCTATTTTAACTCTAATTTGATGTTATCTTTTCTTATATGATGTCCATACTTCTGTATAAATGTTTTACTTTGATTTTGGTTTTAAAAATAATTTTATAGTATTTTAAGTTTTAAAAACTTAGGATCTTATTTATGTAAATTTTACAAACTTAGTAATCCATTTGAGTTATTCTTGTGATTACCTCAACTTATGTAGTTAATTGCAGATCAATAAGAGTGACCTTACATTTCAAACCAATTTTTTTACTGGACTAAACCAGATTGTATTTGTCCAAGTTACACTTGGTTGGATAAGATAACTGAACTTTTGCACAGCCTTACT